AGGGACCGGAAGCGAGAACGGGGCTCTGACGTCGACGCCTCTGCCACACACACACAATTAAGCATAATCACCTACACACACAATTAAGCAGACTCCGCACACATGCAGACGCACCCATACATAACACCGCTGCATCGCCGTCGTCGCCGTACAATTTCCGCAAGTCGTAAAAGTCGGTAATTTATACCTTTTGCCCCATATGCTACGGCATGGTAATTTGTTAAGTAGAGTTAAAATAATTGCTCGTATTTATAATTTACACATTTTGCCTTGGAAATTTATCGTCGCGCTGAAAGTGCGCTAGATAGCTCACACACACACCGCACACACACACACACACACACACACACCGAGGGAGCAGGCCCCAAAGGAGGACTCTTGGCTTGGAAACACCAGGGTTGCCAGGTCGACGGCCGACTTGCCTCTGCAATTTTTCGGTGTATTTTCCACTTTTGCGCTGCGCACAAATTTATGGCCACAAGTTCCCCTGCTAAACTGAATGAATGAGTAAGTGAGCTCCTGCTCCTGCTCCTGGCGATGGCGATGCTGCTGCTGCTGCAGGTCCTCTCCCGGCGAAGTTGAAAGTTTTAGCCGCTATTAATTTCCCTCGCCACCCCGTTTTGGGGGCTCCACGAATGGTAACCTCGCTGTGGGGAATATGAATTGCAGCTGAAGAGATTTACGGACGGGGTCCAGTGCTAAAGCAAAACAATTTGATTCGAATTGATACATGCTCCGTATGAGCCCTGAGAAGGTTTTGGGTGCTGCTTTAAGGTCTAAGGAAAAGTATTAAGTAAAATATTTATAGAAAAAATAATAAAAAATAATTACTAATTGTTTGGAAACTGTTGTTCCCGTTTATTAGTTAAATTGTGAACCTAAAATAAGGCTATATTAGGAGTCCTTCACTCGGTTATTAATAAATCTTCTCAACTCAAGACTTTTACCTAAAATATGTAATACTTTTATAAGGTTTAAGGAAGCGAATTGCACTTAAAAACAAGAAGGAAAACTGACTTCTAGAAGCCGGAATTTATATACCCTTGCAGTTGCCATGATGGCTTCGAACCAAAAATCTATCATAACTAAGCCAAAAAAGCATCAAATTCAATTCGGAAAGCTTTTCTAGGCTGGTTTTTTCACGGTTAACAAATTTGCATAAAATTTTAAAAAATTAAAATTTTGGCCAAATTTTGCAAATTTTGACGATGTAACCCCTTATTAAATTTTGAAAAAAATTTAAAAAAAAAATTGGTTTCCTTCCAACATGGCTAGAAAGTCTCGCCTATTAATGCTGATCAAGAATATATATGATTTATGGGGTCGGAAATGACTCCTTCACTGCCTTGCAAGCTTTTGATTAAAATTATAAAATATAAATTATATTATTCACTTTCTTTATATTCCCTTTTAAAACCCCCTTTAAAATCAAAACTAGCTTAATTCTAGTTGCCTTTAAATAGCATCCGATAATTTATTAAATACCCAAGGATCTGGGGAAATATTAAGAGACAAAGTAACATTTTATATGAACCCATGCCTTGGTAACATTCATTTTCCGTCCAAATTACCAAGTAACTCCATTTTGCACGAAATTTCGAAAACCATAAAACATTGTGAACGATAAATTTCATTTTAATGGCTCGAGAATTGTTGGGGAACGGTGCTCAGTGCCCCTCTGTTCGGCTTGGCTGTTACTTTGTGTGCTGGATACATTTTATAAAACATTTATTTGCTTGATTCCTAGCCTCATTTCCGCCAGACATTTCGCACCCGCCTCTACCCCGAGAATTCAGTAGAAAAGACATATATTTTGTCTGCACTCTCCGCTCTTCCTTTCGGGCCATAATGAGGCCATAAAAAGGGTTAAATAAAATGTGCAGCAATTGCTTTGCTAAAGCCAACGAGGCTTCCTTCCCCTCATCCACCGCCAGGTTCCGACCACTGACAGCGAAAATTTGCCCGATTTTCGCGCCGTTGCTTAAGAATTATCGACGTCTTTTTTATTTGGTCGAGGAATGTCAGAGGAGGCGTTGGCTCCGGGGTTGGGATCGGAAAAGCGAAAGGGGCGCGGGGGCAGAAATTACAGCTTGTAGCTACAAATTGCTTCCGTTGCAGGCACTTCGGGGCTCTTTGGATCGTTCGACGCGGAAAGCAATGGAAAGCGGGAAAGCGGGTAAAGGGCGGAGGAAAAGCGGAGGGCAACCAAAAATAGACACATCAATAAAATTTATTAGTTTGCATGTGCAAGTGCAGCTGGCGGTGGTCGGGATTTTCTATTTCCCGCCGGACCGAGGTCTAATTCGCCGCCCCACCGCCCTCCTAGAATGCACCGAGCCCCATTAGAGCGGATGTAAATTGCTGCTAATTTGCTTTGTACACTGAGATTAATGTAATCTGAAATGTGAGTCAGTTCCGGGGAGTCCCTGAAAAATAAGATAAATGCTTTCAGGGATTTAGGTTGTTTCGTAGGGAGATGGTGTTCGATGAGATATTTTTCTGGTAACCGAATTTTAAAGTTTAAACACTTAACAATTTAACTATCGAAAACTTGAGTATGAATAACATATGTATATTCCTATACCCTTTACATTTATTTACTTTGCCTGAATTATTTCCACAAAATCCAATCCCCCTCGTAGAACGTCCCAATTCAAATGTAAATATAACACATTGTTTTCCTCAATTTTGCGGAGTTTCTTTACCAAAAGGGCTTTGATCTCGCCGCTCGCCTTTCACACATTTATGGGTTTATGATGCGCCCCATATGCACGACAAATGCACCGAAATGAAACGCTCGGCCCGGTCTGCATTCCATTTGAATTTGGCTCGAACCACCGCCCAAAAAAGCCACCCACCCTCACCACTCGTTACCTTTTGCCGTCTCGCTTTTACGATGCCTCAAATAGTGTGATAATTAGGTGAACAGACGTCTGTAAACGTGCGTTGGTCGGTGCAACATCAAAGCGAACACCGCTGCCTCTTGGCAGCCCCCTCCACTTGCCACGCCCCCTCGACTCACAGTGCCACATATGTGGGCGTGTGCCTGTCGAGATGCCGCCCCCGGGAACTGTGCGATGACGAATTCCCAGAACTGTTTGTTGTGTCAGTTAACAATTGTTGGGCATTCCGCGGAACTGGATTTAACATTTTCCAGTCCGATATTTGATTAGGCGTCGACATTTCGGATGTTTACTTGCCGATAGCTGGGTTATTTATTCATATATAAATTAGAGGAGATTACAAGTCGGATGCAGATTGGGCAGCAGGTAAAGAACCAACAATTTGGCATAGTATTAGTATTGGATGTCAGTCAGTCTAACTCAGTCGGGTCAAAGCTCATTGCAATTCCCAAAACACAGACTCCATAAGAGTAAACAATTGTAGGTCTACCCACCTGCAGATGGCAAATAAATAATATCAGTGGGTCTCCAAACAGTTGCCAACTCGTTTGATGCCCCTCGCTGATCTGCGGACAGATGTTGCGCCATCTCCACATACATAAATAGTGGGTATTTGTGACTCCCAGCTGGTTGCATGCGGCGGCATGTCGCTGATTAGCATCGCCATCGCCATCGCAACTCGTGTCAGGTCCACAGATAAAAGATATATTCACCCCATTGCCAGCCAGCATCGGTGCCACAAATCATTGCCAAACATGATTTCTTATTATGGGCGCTAAGGTGTGGCTGGAATTCATGTTCGCCTTCTAGTTAAGACCTGGTATTGCTGAATTTAAATGCATGTAATTTAATTATAATTAATTAGGGACTTATAAATGTGGACAGTTTGATTTATTTCCCTGGTTACCAGTTCAGATCTTCAGGGGATATTACTTTAAGAGAGTCTTTACAGGATTAACTAGTTTATGTTCTTCTCAGAGTTTGGGAAAATAAGTAGAGTCAAAGAAAAAGATTGCAGAGACTAGTTAAATTAATTAAGAGATAGATAATAGGGTTGGTAAACCATTCTCTGAATATCTTTATGAAATTGTAGGCTAAAAGTAGGAGTTCACACTCCTGACTCTATCTTTACTACTTGTTTCAAAAGGCATCGCTCACATTATACCCAAAATCCATTTAGAAAACAGTCTCAATCAATAAATATTTCGAGCTTATCTGATCCCCGCGATGATGCATATCTCACCGCAAACAGACATATAGACACGCACTTAAGTAAATATATCAATTTCGTTGATAATCCCAATGTGAAAGCTTCCTGCTGAGATCCCCTGTATTCATCTCTATCCCTTCCCACACGGAGGGGCGCTCATTAGCTGCTGCATTCGGAGATGCTGAACAAGCCACTTAATTTAAATTTAAATGTTTATTCCTCGCTATGCGTGTGTGTTGTGTGCGGCAAAGTATTTTGTCTTCGTTGCATTTTGTGTTTACACCCCACCTCGACCCCGTGTATCACTCTTTCATTGCACTGAAATAGTACAGTGAATATTTTTTGGGTTAATTATATATATATATATCATTATAATCTCTATATTTTAATATTTTATATAATAAGATAAGATATTTTCAATATAATATTGAATTATTATAATAATAAACCCAGGATCTACTTTCCTCATTGATAGTTTCTTGTTAAATGCAAAATAATTTTCTTTATTAAATCAAAGACATTTCAAAAAACATTAAGTTTTCATTTTAATCTCACCTATACTTCCCTCCTATCATCTATTTTCTTTCAGTGCACACCTCGCTCTGTGTGTCGCGTCTTGGCAAGATTTATTTTCGGTATTCCATGGGCGACTAAAATGCCCTGTCAGCGCAGCAGTTGCTGCCATACGTCGCCGCCGTCCCATACCCCACGACCGAGGCGGTGGCTACGGCTACATTAACCGATGGTGGTCCGGAATGGGCTCCTCCGCCGAAGGGGGACCCACAGAGCGATCGTTCCCCCCCATTGCACTTGACACCCGAAATTGATGCGCAACTGCGCCCAAGTCGGGCCACATTAATTAGGCAAAATATTGACACGCTGATGGCTGGTGTTGCCCATTGATTTATGGGGGCCTGGGTGTGTGCGTGTTTTATTGGGATATTTTCAGGGGAATTAGTGCGGTATGGAATGGGCTTAGATCTGCATTTCTACTTGTGCATTTTGGTCTTCTTGGCAGTCGAGGTGTGAGTGCATTTCTGGTTCGTCTTCTTCGAGCATTTTTTACTGCCATGCAGTGGCTTCAGCAGTCGAATCATGAGTCGCATGAAGGGTCCCCATCGCTTGTGGCCTAGAATTCAGGAAGTTCTTCGGTTGAGGCTACATGAAACTGTTCCAGGTGCTGTCCTCATAGAGTAAGAAGCTAGCAGCGAGTCTCTACTAGCTTCTTACTCTATGCCATTAACACTGGAGCTTACCACGGGTCACGGCGGTGGAACTCTCCTTGAAATCATTTTTCGGCTCGAAAACTTTCCAACCCTCTTTGTCCTCACTGTCTTCACTTTTTGCCACGTTTGGGTACAACGATGAAGTCAATATTTGCGGAACAATCACCTGAAAACTACTTTTTGATGCCACCTCGGATTCCTCTTCGATCTCGGTTAAGTTGGCTGGGTTGGGCTGCTCCATGGGTTGCTCCTTGGTGGTAAAACGCACACAACTCTCAGTGGAGTTCCTGAGAAGAAGCCAAGACTGCTGAATGATGTTTTCTTCCTCGATCAACTTTTCGTAGCCCTTAAGGATTCGACGCACATCCACGTTGACGAGCTCTTCGGGAACATCTGGCAAATCGGTAAATTTCTGAGAAAATATCAATATGTAAGACAACTTTTGTGTACAATTTAATTCGTTTACATTTTACATTTAATATTAAATATTTTTTGAAGGTTTAAATAAATTTTCAAAAAACAATATGAACAATAATGAAGAGCTGTGTTTTTTCAGTGTCGGTAGTTACCTGCGAAGTCTGGCATAGATCCTCGAAGCGCTGGATCAGCGTCTTGATGTTGGGGTTGCTCTTGGACTCCTCGGCCTCGTCCTCATTCACTTCCGGCAATGGTAAGGCTTGGTCCGCCGCCGGCTCATTGAGCACGGAATTGCCCACCATGTTGACGGAACTGATTCCGTTTAGCATCTTGGCCGTTTGCTCCATAAAGATCGCTTGTCGCTCGCGCATTAAGAGCAGGCGCGTCTTCAGCTCATCAAGGTATGCCAGCTGTCGGATAGTTGGCATGATATATGGATTGCGCTTCTTGCTGCCCTCTATTGCACCTGACTTGCCGCCTTCCATTGACTTTGACATGCCGTCGCCGTTGATGGTAAATTTTGTGGTCCCAGCTCCAGAGGGGAGTCCAGTGTTACGGAAAAGTTTTTTGTGTGATTTCGGGCTATTGGTTTACCTTGTGAATGTTTAAAATGAGCTTGAAGGGGGCTTGAATAGTCAGTCCATGGCTACTCCGATCAAAAGTTGTCTACTCTTTTTCTGCAGACTGAAAACCCCATTAATGGCTGGTAAAGATTTGAATTTTTGGGCTTATGGAGGACTAAGTTTTATCCTTCAACTACTATTTCATCGTCTGTCAGAAAAGAGCGGAGCTATAAGTCTGTGTCCATAACATCGTTCCTGGCTTTAGGCTATAGACTGCTGCTTGCTCTTGCCTTTCTTTTTTGGCCACCGCTTAGACATGGCCTATTACTCGTTATTTTTATGAGCCCCAAATTGAGATATCGCCTGCATTTCTGGCCCAGCTAACTAAGTTGTAAGTGCTTTGGCTGCCCCACTCTGAAACCGATCCCTCCGCGGGTCTTTAATCTGTCTGCGGTCGAACAATGGCCACTGGGGCAGGGATTGTGGCCCGATACGCCTATATGCCTATCTTCGGTTTAGCCTCTTACTCGACTTGCCTGGGATGCTGCAGGTGATGGTGGTGGGTGGGGAGCAGGGTGGCGCAGGGGTGGGCCTTGGAATTTCACGGGGGAAAACGTGCCGCTGCCAACGGCTGACGCCTACAATGAAGAAAAGGGGGCGTGGCGGCCACTCTGTGAGACTCCCAGGCCGCTGTTGATTTCACCTGGAGGTGAGTTGCAGCGCCTCCACCCCTTCAACCCCGCCTGCAATTGTTGTTTTTCATATTTTAATGCCTTTTTGAGTTGGTGGGCGTGGCACGACACGATTCTTCTGGCCGATAAGCTGTTATTTTTATGGTCCCCCGCCGAATCAGATCGACTTGAAGTCGGAGTCGGAGTCGGAGTCAGCGGCGCAGAATGTGCGGTGTGGGCTGGCTGCCGACTTAAAGAAGTTAAAATTATTACACCGCAATTGTCTTGATCGTTGATTTATGTGCGCTTTTGTTGTCGGCTCTTTTGGCCTTTTTTCCCTCTCGTTGTTGTTGTATACATTTTCTGTTTTCGAAGTCTCTAGTTGGCCAGCAGGCAAATTTGTGTGGCTTTTGATATTTATTAGCCGTGGCCCGGGCATTGGCATCAATTGTGTATGCAATATGGGAAGTTGATTATGCCTTTCATTAGCCACCGTATTTTACCTATTCTCCTCGGAGTGGCGACAATTGCCGTGGAATCAAGTTTCATCCGGGGCTCAGAAGTATGGACATGGAACATCTTCAGAGGTGCCTTAGAAATTGCTAAGCATTGTAGATAAATGTTCATAGGTTCCATAGAATAGAAAGGTCTATTTCTCTATGTAATCTAAAAACCTGTATTAAAGTGTTTTTTAGATCCTTAGAAAAACCCTCATATGAAATATATTTTCAAAAGTTGAAACAAATATTTGTATTATTTTATCTGCATGACTTAGGTTGTATTTCTCATATATTGAAGGTACTATTGTGTCTTAAACATATATGTTTAAAATAGTTTTTATATAATTTCTTAGGAATACCATATCAATATTTCTCATTAATCCAATGCACAATTAGAAAAGGCTTCAGCAAGTACTTTCATTCGCCCATAAATTCATTCTCTGAGTTCGCTTTATGGCAATGTTAATGAATTCTAATTAAAAATCCCTTTTTCTTGTCATTACTACCTACTAGGCTTTGTAATTGAGTTCTTATTTGGAGTGCCTTGCATCCTGTTTATGGTCTTGCTGGTGTCATAACCGCCCGGGACAATCCCATCGTCTCCTTTCGACCATGCCAATCCCAGTGCAAGCCGAGTCCCATTGTATGGCTCTGACACGATTAAAGCCAACCGCAGCCGGGGCCGCCTCCAATTGCCTGCAAACTTAATGATTTCATCTTTCATTGAATTCAAATTTGTTTCCCCATCGACCCCCGCGATGTCCGAGTGCGATTTGCAGCTGTGCAGAGAGCACGACGATCGGTGTCCGGAGTCCGTGGTCCGGACTGCGAACTGCTGACTGCTGACTGTGGGCGTGCCCCCATCATACGCCCCTGGAGTTACTGTCGTGGACGTCGCTGGCCGAGCCTCGAAAATAACGAATTTATTATTTATTTCACCTGACAGCACGAGCAACAGACTCTATAAATTTCCCTAGCCACTCCGGTGCTCCGACTCATATTTATGGCCCCATCTGTATCTTTCTGGCGATGCGCATATGAAAACGAAATTATTGATAAGGCAGCCCCTGCCAGGGTATTCCCTTATTTTCAACTCTGATTGAAATACCGCTTTCGTCTGGACGGAAACAGCTTCATTTCGACAGCCAAGGAAAACGGGAAAAACAAAAAAGGTAAGTGGAAATAAGCTGCGGCAGCAACAAAGTTTATTGGCAACACACAAGGAGGTAGGAAGAAATAAAACCTTAACCCAATATCCTGCTTATGGTCATAATTTTTATGCTGCTTCCAGCGAGAGGAATCCGAAGCCCGTCGACCGCCTGGGCTCAGCTTATTGCAGTTGGTCCAGGTCCGGACCTGGACCCGGGCTGGCTTCCCCTTGAGTCCGCCACTTGCAGCGTATTTCATTATGAATTGCTCTTAACGATGTTCCATTTTTCATGTGCGCATTCATAAACCTTTTTCTTATTTTCGACTTGGAGCGGATTGTTGTTTGCATCTCGCCGTTGCTGCTTTAGTTGCGGCTGCTGTGCGGTGGCCAGGAGAAGAGAAGATCCTGTCTGGCGGTTTGGTAACAGCCAGCTCTTCCCTTCTCCACGAGCTCCCCGGAAAGCGAGTTAATGAATAATTGCACCAAGGTGTTGTAAGGAGAACGTTGGCCTGCACAGTGGTGGGAAATAATTTGGAAAAATAAACATATTTTAAAGTAGCACATTTTAGTATTGAATATGAAACGAACAGTATTTATTTCATAGGGAGTAACGTTTAGTGCAATTTATATGAATTTTAGTATATTGTTTATTGATTTCAGAGTCATTGAAAAGCCTTAATCTTTATTTATGATTTTTGTAAATTTTTTGTATAAATAATATAATTAATTTAGAAACAAAATCAAATGAAACAATGCTTTTTTGATACACACAATCGATAGCAAAACTATAGAAGATCCTTTTTAAAATCAGCTATTTTTGTTGACCAAAAGCCACAGGCTTAGAACATCGAAAAGAAATTCCCTAAACTTTATATTCTGAGAAAAATTGTATAGAAATTAAACAGCATAATTTATAAAATATACATATATACAAAATAAAGGCATAGTTACGCTTAGTAAATATCATATTTTCATTGACCAGAACATTTCTCTTAATTTTTTATTTCAAGGAGTTTTTTTTACCCAAATTTTTTGTTATTTGAAAATAGATTTTATATATTAAAATCGATTTTAAAAAATATAAACTCTTTCGATGTGGTAAAAGGGTCTCGTGGGATCGGTGCGGGCTGCTGTCAAAGGCACAGCGGGCAGTCGTAAAATCGCGGCAGATACAATTGAAAAACGACCAAGGGAGACGGAGAGGGGGACGGAAAGGATTCGTGAGTAAAGGAGTGCGGCGGCAAACACTCCACACTTGTCAGCAGCGGCCTTAGCCGGCTGTGGCCCCCTCGGCCGCACTACGCCCCTGCCTCGCGCTTATGCTCACAAATCATAAATTGCCGCCTTAAAATTTATCTTCAATTTTCGAGACCCCATGTGGTGCTTAGCGAATGGTGTTTTGAAATTTATTGCTGCATTTGCAATAAATATTGTCAGTTGAGTTGAGCTCACAACGAGAGCGGGATGGCCGTAATGGCGGCGTTTGCTTGCTTTTTGCATGATTGCCGCTGTAACGCCTCTGCCCACACTGGGCCCCCTCGAAACTCCCAGCGCACTCCGCCCCTGTTAGCCCTCTCGTCCTTCCTGCCGCTCGTCCCCTCGGATTGTTTATTGTTTTCGTGCATATTAATGTACGTTGATTGCGGGCCCTGGTTAGCTGAGGCATCAGACCGCGGGGAAGGCCCCTTGGCAGTTAGCAGCTGCCGTGCTGGGTCCTTTTTCCCCCCTCTCAGACGCCGCCACTGCCAGCCCCCAGCACGATTGTTAATTTACAGCGCGAGAAATTGATTGCCATTTTGTTAAGATAGTGTGTGCGAAGAGGGAAAGTGTCCGTCCCGCAGGGGTGTGCTCTGCTCCACGGCATTTGCTGGTTAATTGTGGTTCCTTGTGATCTAACCAATTATTTATGGTCTCCGATACTCGTGATGGGGCTAATTGGCGGGACCTTTAATGAAATCATCAGGACAGAAAGATTTGGCAACACGGATAGCAGATGGTGGTGTCCTGGTGACTCATAAAAGGGCAAGTTGTGGTTATTATTGAAGTTTATAAGAAGAGAGTAAGCTAGACTCTTTAAATGTATTATTTATATTTCATTTCTATATAATATAAAATTTTAACAATTATTACAAAAGCACTGCTTAAATTAATAATAAAATAAAATTAATTATTGTCCCTCATGAATCGAGCACTTTTGTACGGCTCTTTCGCTTAGCTACCAGTAAATAGAAGTAAGCTCGAAATAAGCCCAAACGACTCGTTGGACGTCAGGCGGCATTGACAGAGCCATCAATCAATTCACACACAGCCCAGACACGGACACTCGAAATGTAAACCTCGTAAGTCCTGTGCTGCCTATCGAATCCGAAAGAATGGAATAACTTTCCCTGCCGCCCTGAACTTCCTGTCGCCACAATTTGTTTGGACTGCTGTCAGGCGACGATGACTCTCCCGATTTCCCCCGCAGTTGCACTTATCCGTTATCTCCTTTTGCCTTGTAAAAAGCGACACGGGACAATATAGACACTGAAAGAAATTAATAAGGCCATCCATTAAGCTGAAACTATCTGAAAAATGTTATTTATAAAGCTTTTTTAATAGCAAATAATATTTATTTGTATAAATGTATATTATTATATTAGATGTAAGTTTTTTCCTTGTTTTTAGAACCGTTTAAAGCTAGGGATTTTCTTTCAGTGCACCAACGAACAGGCCGTACACAAACCCATCGATTCGAGCATGTGACAGGCATCGGGCAGAGCTCATCAATCTCC